GCATTGTCGAAAATATTTTAGTTGGCTAGAGAATGTCCGAATATGCCCTCCATTAAATTTTCAAAGTGATCCGTTGTCTGGTTCACCAGAAACGTCTAATGTGCCATCCACCGTGAATCAGCCTGTATATGAAGACATTTGAAGAAGCTGTTGTATAGCAAAACAACTGTTGTAGTTTCGTAAACTGTTCGGTGAAATCCCATGATAAAGTGTAAATTGGATGTGAAAAATAAATATTTTTAGATTTGTTTTTCGGAAGCTAGGGTACCATTCTTTGTTAATGTGTTTTTTGGTAGCTATAACAATTAGTTGGTGCAAATTGATATCTAAAAAATTCGCAAAGTTATGTGCAAATAACATACTTTTTTGGCCATGAAATTTTTAGTCTTGATGAAAAAAATTCACTAATATCAAGACCTCTTTCTGAAAATCAAGTTCGAAATGAATTTTAAACATTGAATTATACAAAAATCACTTTTTCCTATCCAGTTTACACTCCAAAACGTTTGTTATGGAATTGAAACAGATAACATTTATAGAAACGCTACAGAATATAATACATGAAAGAGTTATGAAAGGCTAACAGTTTCATAGAGCGCAAACATATTTGTGAAAAAGAAAATGATTTGGAGGATTTTTCTCTGAAATGTCGGCCACTAAGTATAGATTTTTTTTTAATTTGGTTATTCAATTAGTAGGCAAAATTTATGAATACGCCGAGTGACTGACTGATAAGACTCTTCAGAGGTATATACAGGGCTTTTCATGATGAGCGTTAATCAGCCGTTTCTGGCAAACTATTCAACGGATCAACCTGAGAATTCCACAGTATGCATAAGTCAATATGACCTACACGCCTAAAATATTTTAGACGAAGCGGCGTTGTCGCTACTACTATAAAGTAGCGGCTTCTTTGATTTTTCAAATGGAACACCCCGTATATAATATCATATTATGATTCATTATTACTTTGTCGACAAATTCATATACTATTTCCCTATACCTATCTATTACCGTTTAGAAAATATAAATTAATTTCGATATTTTTTTTACCAAACATGAACTTTTATAAATGCTGATAATCTTGAACTCTCTTGCACTAAAACAATCAAATTTGAAATGGAGTGGAGTGATACTATGAGGATCTTCACTCCGAGTCATATTTTCATTTGCAACATACAGGGTCTTCAAAAAATGTAGATACTTTATAGTAGAAGCGACAACGCCGCTTCTTCTAAAATATTTTAGGCGTGTAGGTCATATTGACTTATGCATACTGTGGAATTTTCAGGTTGATCCGTTGAATAGTTTGCCAGAAACGGCTAATTAACGCTCATCATGAAAAGCCCTGTATAACGCAGTAACTTTTCAGAGTAATCTTTACAATTTGTTCTTTATAACACTTAGGCAGATTCTCTCTTTATTTAACTATATTTATTTTCCAGATTGTGAAAGTCATAAACCCAAAAATCAGAAAGAAACATTGAGTTCTAAACAAAAATAAAAAGATTTGCAAAGAATATTACTACTGCTTCAATTCTCTTAAATGAATTACCAAACTTACGAAATAGGTTGCATTCAACTCACAAAACAAACCATGCAAACAATTTTGTTCTATCAACATTATGCACTACACTAGGAACGCAGTTAAAGTTACAAATGTAATAAGCATCAATTTACTACACTTCGTTAACAAATTAGTTATCAAATTACTTATTTATTCATTATTTGAATTTTATTTATGTTTTATGAACATTTTTGTTTTTGGGATTGATAAAGATTATTATTATTATTGTTAAATGAATGGTTTCCGTAGTCAGCTCCCTATGAGAAAGAGATTACTCGTCTTAGAAATATTCAATGAAGAAAAGAAAAATGGTTTTTTCAACATTATTGAACTGAATAAAGTATTATGAAGTTCAACTTGACCTACCTTATTTTTCAGCCGCATAACTTCAAGCTCTGACATGTTATATTTTCGTTGAGTCTGCATCACAAACACATAAATGAGTTATTAACTTTTCATTTTGCATCCGATACATATATCAAGTAGGAAAAATTATAATAAAATAAAAAAACTGAAAGTATAGAAAATATTAAGATAAAAAAGACAAAGATTTATTATAACATTCTCAGAAATAAAAAAAAAAAGATAAAAATTCAAATATGGTATCTGATTATATATACAAAAGTAGCAATGAATTGGAGAATAAATAAATAAGTTTCAACTTTTTCAGTTTCAACAATAAGAGACATTTCATTGTCTTTTAGTTTTTTAACCAAAACAAAATTATATCGGATGAAAGGGAAAAGATGTCACATCAACAATCACAAATAGCAAAAACCAACACAAAATTCATAGTTTAATCGCACAACACACAAAAATTTGATCAGACCAAAGCATGACAAAAATACTTCGAATACGTTACCTCCACTAGTAGAGATCTTAGAGATTCAACGTTGTCCTGCTCGTGCTCGAAAAGGCTTTCTTGATTGACAGTCGGACTAGTGGGACCATCGCTAACACTTGTGTTTGCCGATCCTGAGAAAATTTTTATTAAATGCATTCTTTCAGTTTATTTTCTTATCGAACAAGACGAACATTCATTTATTTTTCGCTGTATGTAAATTTGATTGATTCATTTCTTCACGATGGGATATGAATTTTTGAATTTCAATATTGTCCATAAAAAGAAAAATTATTCATATCTTCAACGTTTGCCAAAATTATAATACACATTTATTTCTACTCAAGATAAGTCTCAAAATATTTTGTCGTATCCTTAGTTGTAGTTTTATCTCAATTTAAACTTTGACTGTACTTGTACAACATATGTTATTTGAAACCATTCAGCGATTAAAAGCTCTCTCAATTGAAACGTTGTGTGAATGTTCCCCATATGCGGAGTAATTCTTCGTTGAAGCATGCTCGATGGGATTCAGGTCCGGTGATTGTGCTGGCCATGGCAATACATCAACTCCTTCGTTGGTGAGCCAGTCAGTCACTAGACGCGTGACATGTGGACGAGCATTATCGTGCATTAGGTGGAAGTTTTCACCAACAGCACCAGCAAACGGACGGACGATAGGTAGAAGAATGGTGTCGAGGTACTGTCGAGCTGTGAGGGAGCGATTTGGAAAAATGAGATCGGTTCTGCCGCCGATCATGATTCCGCCCCATAGCATTACTGTACCACCTCTGTATGTGTGGACTTCCTGGACGTGTCTCAAACGTTCATTATTTCCAGGTCGTCTCCACAGTCTTACTCGACGAGAATCTGGATGAAATCCAAATCTGGATTCGTCTGTAAACAAAACTGTGGCCCAATCATTTGCATCCCAGTTTTGATGTTCTTGACACCACTCTAATCTTCTACCGCGATTGCCTCTCGACAAAGGTGGACATCTAAGTGGCCTTCTGTTGTGGAGATCTGCTTCATGCAGTCGATTTCTGACAGTATCACGACCAATGGTTGCGTCTGCTGCAACACATTAACCAAGTCAGGTGCTGTGATTGTTGGTTGTCTTCTTGCGGTTAAGACCAAAAATCGGTCTTGAACTGCAGTTGTAGCGCGTCCTCGCCCTGGATGTTGTTCGGCTGGACTGCCAGTTTCACGGAAACGCCGCCACAATCGACTGATAACACTTTGGGAGACCCCCAAACGAAGAGCTACATCATTTTGTCGCATGCCACCTTGAAGAAGCCCTACAGCTCTATTCATCTCAGCCAATGGTAAGTGATGGCGTTCCATGTTAAAGCACAATATTTCCAGTTTAATTGCCGAGCAAGAACTGCATAGAATGTACAAACTCGACACTTTCAGATTATTCATTTTAGCCGAAAACCTACAGTTTGTAAAAAACTTGATAAAAGATTAGTTACCGTTTTTGCAGGCTTTGTTCAACCCATAGAAATCTACAGGGTGGTCGAGTGTACCAATTTAATCGAAATTAAACGACCTCATGCATTTATTTTTATGATATTTAGTATGTTATAAAAATATCTCTAGACTTTTCCGATGTGTGTAAATAAAATGAATTAATCAAGAGGAATTTATTCATTTTCACTAATTATGTCTACAAAACTGTGTGAAATAAGTCACAATTTAACCTGCCTACTGTAGTGAAAAAGTTGGATTGTCTGCTTTTCATAAATAATCTCAGAGTATTTTAAAAGAGTTCTTCAAAACGTAGTGGCACCCACTTTGAAGAATCTAGAATATAGTAGAAATAACTTACCAGTCAACTGAACTGTGCTTGCTTCGCTATGCTGCTGTTCCGCCTCCATAATCCTCTGCCTCCTCTCTTCCCTATCCCTATCTGCCTGCAACGACTGCTTTATTAGCTGCGCAACTTCGCTGTTTTCTGGATCCCTCTCCCTTCCTATACTGAACTTTACCAAGCCCGAGGTATTCCTTAGAACGCTGGCGGCGTAAGCTTGAGTGACGCCCACCAAACTTTTACCGTCCACCTCAATTATCTGATCGTTCACCCTGATGCGTCCATCTTTAGCCGCAGCTCCATTAGTAGTTATCGTTTTGACAAAAATTCCTGAAAAGATCATCCCCATAATTTAATTGAAAACGTAAATGTTTTCAAATAACGAAGTCAGCTGAATCATATATTATAACACTCTGAATGACCTAATCAGAAGTGTTTCTTCGAAAGAACAATGATTCTTTATCGTTTCAAAAGGAAAAAAATACTATTTTTCTGACATACTTTCTGCAAATGAAATAGCTTGATAACCTTAATACTATTGTAAATCATTTCCCGAAAAAAATAACGCCAGCCGCCCGCTGGTCTTCGTCAATCGATTGTGACTTGGCCAAGGTCGCGCTCAACTCGACTTGCGCTTCGCGATTGTTCTCGATGTCGCGTCGCTTCGAGAGACTTCCCCATCAGCTTCCAGATACTTCCATGACGTTATATAAACATTACCAACATGCAGATCGAGGAAGTCTAGTTGAAAGTGCGGTACGAAGAGATCTTATTAGGCGATAGACATTTGAGTATCAGTTAAAGTATTTGTGTTGTATTGTCAGTCTAGCAGTGAAATAAAGTTTGAGTTTAATTGTACAGTATAGTCAATTACTATCAAACTCACGGGGGAAACGTAACAATACATCCAAATGAAACAATTTGCCTATGGAAAATGGCATTCCATCAAATTTTACTCAAATTGCAGAACTCAATATTCTGATAAAAAATGTACACGGGTCCAACCCAATATAGCAATTCGAATCTACAAACTAATCTGTCAACCACTTATTGAATATTCGCACCCAGTATTTCTCCATATCAAACAAAGGACCTTGAAAACAATTAAAGTATCTGGAACAACGGCTATCAGGAAAATAACAAGTGAGGTATCTCAATAACCCCAAAAACAACCATCCAAACTCTCTGCTGTACCAATTCACTACTACCGCTACTTACTCAGAAGTTTGCTGGAAAAGACAATCATGTTTCATTGCTTTTCAAACGAATGTTTTTTGGCATTTGTTTTTTGGAAGTGTGAATTGATGAAGAAAACCTTGAAAACATCCATGACGGCGTATTTGTCGAGAGTACAACTGTGTAAATGACATTTTGCAACAAATAATTTTAAAAATAAATTCTCACCTAGCTTCTCCAGGCCAGCGTCCGCGCCAACCCCCATCCCTATTATGCTCAAACCTAGACCTTCAGACCCTTTGACCAGTTCCACGGGAAACACGTCCATCTTTTCGACTCTCTTCTCTAGTTCATATTCCGCGGATGCTGCGACCGGATCGACATCTTCATTCCTCCTATCGTATTCAGATATGCTAAAAAATACACAGAGCGAACATAATATTAGTTATTGCCATCACTTTATTATAAGATATTTATTCACCTTCAAAAATATTGTAGAGAGTATTCTCAAAATAAAAAAATATTTAATAATAAAAAAATATGTTAGTGTATTAAAAATTAGATGTTTACATATATAAACCAGTCACACTTATACATATACTAGTACTATGTTGCTGTATCGCTGCTGTTCCAATGCTTCGACAGAATCAGAATCAACGAACTTAGGTGTGTGCAGCGTGCTGCACACACGCTGTTCTACAGCGCCATCTAGTGGCGAGTTACAGAAAAAATTGATAGCCTAAAAACCTTCTCTATGAAAAATTACTTATACACGTCAAGTTTCATCAGGATTGGTTGAGCGATGTAGAAGTTTATCACTTACCAACCAACCAACCAATAAACATCCATTTTTATATATTAGACACTAGCAGAAGTTTTCAGTAATTCATATTCTGTTCTTCTCATTTAATGTTCATAATTAATTTTTGGTATCTCTATTTTATTGTGTAGACAACTTTATATTGTCTTTGGGAAATAAAGTTTTATTATTACTAGCATTATGAAGATTCACTCACCTAAAAGTCGAATAGACTTTCATGGGTTCTAACGAAAAGCTAATTTTGTTTGGTTTAGGAACGTATGTAGGATATTCGAGATCATCGTCATCTTCTGGAGGTAAACCAGGTACTTCCATCCAAAAGTGGCCATCCTCATAGTAATGCACTCCGTGTTCTACCCCTATGATTTGAATAGGTTTCGCAACAAATCCTTCATCAGTCTTGCTTTCTAAATAGTTACCCTCGGATAAGCTAGTAACGGAATCTGAAAGAAATGGTATGCTTTCTGAAATGATGTTTTGGGTGTGAATTTTATAAAACTCCTGAATGAAAACATTTGAAGCCTACAAATCATATGAAGACAACTATATAAAATACTTTTTTTCTACAAGAATACAATTATATTTGTATTTCTAATTGTACAACAAACTAAGATGTTTTGGTGAAAAATTAATTTCAAGAATATTTTCTGTTTTTGAAAAAAAGGAATTAGTCTCAATTGTGAACCGAAAACCATTTTTTCTCAGGTAATATTTGCTTTTTGTTGTTATGTCAAAATGTTAACGAGCTGTTTAGAATGAGAAATTGTGGCTCTATACAAAATTTCCAGAGGACTCATTTACTTAAATTTTTTCATATGAAATATAATAAATCGCATTTATTCAAAGTAAAAATTTACATAACATACTAATATTATTGCTATACATACGCTGTCTGTTCAAAGAATAAGTAAATTTTCATTTCTCTCAAAATATATTTATTTATTCATCAATTTCTATTCTGTCCCTTTCAAAGTAGTCCCACTCAGATATAATATACGCCGTCCTTTCATGGGGCTCTTTAATCTTGGGAACAGGATAAAGTCACAGGGGGCCAAATCTGGTGAATATAGTGGCTGAGGAAGCATGATTACGGTGTTGTTTTTGGCCAAAGAATTACGAACAAGTAATAACGAGTGAGCAAGTGCATTATCGTAATGCAAAAGCCATGAATTGTTTTCCACAATACCGGACGTTTTCTTCCTATTGCTTCAAGATAATACTCCTTAATGACTGTATGACCATAAGGCAAAAACTCCTGATGCACTACGCCACAGCAATTGAAGAAAACAAAACCTTGACATTCGATAAGACTTGGCGAACCTTTTTTGGTCTTGGCTTTCCTGGGCTCTTCCATTTGGACGATTGGATTTTGGTTTTGATATCATAACCACATACTCATGATTCGTCACCAATTATGACCCTTTTAAGCAAATCTGGATCGCCTTGATGTCATTCAACAATTCCTGAGCTATGCTCGTGCGACAGTTTTTTCAGTAGAAATTCTGCAATTTTGGAACGAACTTTGTTGCCACAACAGAAAATCGCCGAATACGCAAAACACTTCTAACTTTTATGCTTCTCACCAACAGACTAAACATGCTAAACTGCTTAAACTGTGAACATGTGTTCAAGACGAGTGTACCAACATAAAAAAAAATCACTAATCAAATGTACTTTGTCCACGAAATTTGAACTTGAAGTATATGGATTTAGAAAACATCTTGTTGTGGTTTGAGTCATATCTATCAGATCGCGTTCAAGTAGTGAATTTCAAAAGTTCATCTTCAGATGAAATGAGCATTAAATGCGGAGTACCTCAGGGTACTCCTCGGGTCCTCGGCACTTTGCTGTTTTTATTATATATAAATGATCTGGCATATATATCGATTGAAGGCAAATTCACAAGTATTGGTGACGACACGTCTATACTTCGGCATGGAAGAAGCACTGATGCAGTGAAAATTAGGGTAGAGCATGATATAGGCAAAGTAAAACAATGGTGTGAGTCCAATTTATTATCTTTCAATATATCAAAGACTAATATAATGTCCTTTAAATGTAACCTGGACCATATAATTTTTGAAGAACACATCATTGATCATAAACTAGAGAACAAATTTTCAGGCCTCAACATAGACAACAAATTAAAATTTGGAATGCATATTATTATACTTAACGTGTTAGGAATCACACGTTAAAAGGTAAGACCTCGTTAGTCCTTAGCTCGCACAAGTTTCTCAACTTCTGAGAGTTGTCGTTCGTATGGGGGCGGCAGCTGATTAACGGAAAAACAGATTTTTTTAAACAGACTATGCAAAAAATTATCCTCAAGTTATGCGATAAGGTTTATCTCTGACTATTTGGACTATCACTCTGCTAGGAAAGCATACTTTGCACTTTTCGAATTCCACTTGGGGTACGGAGTTTGTTTCTGGGGGAGCAGCTGTCAAACCTTAATGAGTCAAGTTTTCACAATTCAAAAAAGATCAGTGAGATTCATTACCAGAGCTGTCCAGGATTCCTGTAAGCCCCTTTTTTAATTCAACACATCTTAATAGTCTACTGCCTTTTTATTTTAGAAACAGTCTGTCTAATGCACAAAAAGAACAAAGATGACATTTCAAACTCAATTCAAAGTTATGCCACTCGTCTCACATTCAACATTCCTCTTCCTATCTCGTTAAGGACACAAATTAAAAATTCGATTCTTTATAATAGCAATAGTTATTTATTATACAAGGGAAAAAAGTATTAGATTTCAGCTCGAGAGCTAAAATCTAATATTTTTCCCGTGTATAATACACAATTTTTTTCTGTGACGGGAAAAACGACGATTTACTTTCAGTTTTCTATATATTGATCGCGTTAACCAGTCAAGATATACCCCGTATATCCGTGAAAAAAGTACTCACTTTTTTCCCGGGGAAAAAGGTAATTTCATAAAAAGTGACTTTTTGTTACCTGCCATCAGAGATAAAATGTCAAACTTTTTTCCCGTCACAGGAAAAAAAATTTCTATCATCTCCCCCTTTCAATCAGAAAGTTAACATGCTACAAACAGTTTTGAAAAAGAGTAAAAAAAACTTCTGCTTCAATAAGCTAAAGCTTATTATAGTATTGAGGAATTTCTTTCGGATGACTTCGCAACTTATAAAATTTTTTATCAGAATTTTAATAATATCAATATGCTTAGCGTAAGTGAGAATCTATGAATGTATAGTACGCCATCTTTGCAGTGCTGAACCCCAATTCTTGATAAATCACTCTAACCGCATAACAGCCAGAGGAGACTTTTCTAGTGAGTTGTTTAACATGTTCCACAAATTTTAAATTCTGTTCAATGAACACTCCTAGAAATTAAGTGTTATTTTTAGATTCCAGTGATCTGTCTACAAAAAAAAGTTCGTTGATTGAGCATCTAAATGATAATAAATTTGTTTCAGTTACGTTAAAAGATAAAATGTTTGAATCACACCAATCCATTTTTTTTTTCAAGTCGGCAGAGATTATTTTGTGCAACTCACAAGTATTTTTATTATTCCAAAGTATGGTACTGTCATCTGCAAATACGGCGAACTTCCCAGAAATATTAAGCTTGGTGAGGTCATTAATATACAGGGCTATTCAAATTCGTTTCTGTACATGGGGATCTCGTAAACGATAAGAGATAGAGTGTCGGTTAAATTGTGGCAAAGTTGTGTATTTTAGAGACCTATTCAATGATGTGAAAAAATCGAATATAGCTCTTTTGCTTCTGGAGATATACAGGAAAAACCAAAAAATCCCAAATTATTTTTTTTCTATGTCTATTTTATTCGCAGACATATTGAAAATCTGTCCATATTTTGCTATTGGCACTTGATGTGGGCTCTCAGAATATATCTATGAATCTTTTATATAGGGTGTCATCTGACTTGGGCCACCCCATCTTTGAATTTTTGAATACGGACCTGTATTTTTTGTTGTAGTTTTTGTATTGTCGACGTTCACTTCATCCTGAGAAATTAAATTAAATTTTAAATTTCGGGATGTTTCGGTAATATTTGATTATAATTGGGTGAATTACGGCCCTGCAAATTGGTTGACTTAGTTAAATGAAAACACAATAGCAACTTTCACGTCTCTCTATATACCGTAGAGTTTTTAGAGAGTTTTTTTTTCATTTTTAGGTACCTATTCATATTTTTTCATTGCTATGAGCGTTTTTTACAATGAACTTCAAATAAGAAAACCTTTTATGATTATCTGAAACATATCTACATCAAAAATATGTTATATGTATTTTAATAAGCAGAAAAAAAAACGATAGCAATAATAACACCCGAAACGAACACTATAATTGTAATGATGAAAATGAAAATTGAAATATACACAAAAAAATTAATGTCGCAATAAATGTTCGAGTTGGAGTCCTTCCATTTACAGACAAATAATGGACCAATAAGATGGCCTGCAAGATCACCATATCTTACTATTTTGGACTATTCTCTATGGGGGACATTGAAAAATAGGATTTACGCTGGCAGAGACATAGAAAATGTGGAAGACTCGAGATTGAGGATTTTGAATGATTTCGCAACGATGCAGTAAATAAGTGTATGAGGGCAATAAATAATATGAAAAACCAAGTTCAAAAATGTTTCGAAATGGAAGGACTCCAATTCGAACTTTTATTGTGTCATTAATTTTTTTGTGTATATAAATTACTTCATTTCAATATTCATTACAATTATTGTGTTCGTTTCCGATATTATTATTGCTGTCATTTCTTTTTCTGCTTATTAAAACACATATAATATATTTTTGATGTAGATATGTTTCAAATAATCATAAAAGGTTTTCTTATTCGAAGTTCATTGTAGAAAACGCTCAGAGCAATGAAATAATATGAATAGGTACCTAAAAATGAAATAAAACTATACGGTATATAGGGAGACGTGAAAGTTGCTATTGTGTTTTTATTCAACTCAGTCAACCAAATTCCAAGGCCGTAATTCAACAGGGAATAATTCACACAATTATAATAAAATATTACCGAAACATCACGAAATTTAAAATTTAATTTAATTTCTCAGTGTAAACTGAACGTCGACGATACAAAAACTACAACAAAAATACCGGTCCGTATTTAAAAATTCAAAGATGGAGGTGGCCCAAGTCAGATGACACCCTGTATAAAAGATTCATGGATATATTCTGAGAGCCCACATCAAGTGCCAACAGCCAAATGTGGACAGATTTTCAATATGTCTGCGAATAAAGAAGATATAGACAAAAAATAATTTGGGATTTTTTGGTTTTTCCTGTATATTTCCAGAACCAAAAGAGCTATATTCGATTTTTTACATCATTGAATAGGTATCTAAAATACGCAACTTTGCCACAATTTAACCGATACTCTATCTCTTATCGTTTACGAGATCCCCATGTACAGAAACGAATTTGAATAGCCCTGTATAATAAGAAAAGAATGGGACCTAACCATAGACTTTTTGAAGTGTGCTAGAGCCATATTATTATTACTTGTTTTAATTCTTGTCCTTTATTTTAATGTTTCTGATTGTTTTAGTTCTTAAGCCTGCTTTGTCAACATATCAATTTTTTTATCACAGACTTTTACCATAGACTTTTTGAAGTTTGCTTGAGCCATATTAATATCTTGTTTTAAATTCTTGACCTTTATGTTAATGTTTCAGATTGTTTTAGTTCTTAAGCCTTAAGCTTACCTTCCATCGTTATATGTGATGAATTTGTTTGTAAATACAACTCATTATGCTTAACCTCAAAAAATTTTCATATAATCAAAGTAGCTAAATTTTCCTGAAATATTGAATAAAGCCACAATTTCTCATCGCGAACGAGTTTTCTTAGGTACATTTTGATAAATCACGAACAATAGGAATACATCGCACCTAGTCCTCAAAAAAAAGATTTAGACCAAAATGACATCATTTATAAAACTGAGAAAGACTCACCTATCAAACCAGAGTCAGTAGCCGACACACTAGTATCTATATCATTCTTAGATTCCTTCTCCTCATCCTGCATCGAATCCAAACTAGACGTCGATTCGTAGTACTGAGACGAAGCTTCAGCGTATTTACCTCTACTATCTTGGTTTTTCACAGAATTCAGGAGATTGGTCGTTTCGCTAGACTCCATGAAATGCTCATTGAATGACTCTTCAAAGATCGAAGGGGGCCCGAAGCTATCGTTGAGAGATACCGGTCCCGAGGAATCGGCCACGGAGGCAGACATGGAATCTTGCAGCAACGAACTGGACGCATTCGGATGCCATTTGTCGGATTTGTTGTCTTGAGAATTTAGGAGTTTCGCTACCTCTTGAGCTTCTTCGTCAGATAAAATGTTTGACCTGCAGAATATATATATATATATATATAAACGAAGGTGTTTACATCAATTCTATTTTCTATTTATACATTAAAAGTATGCACATATGGAGTTTATATAATATAGAAAAGTAAATAATCATCAAACAAGACAGCTCAACAATCTGTTAAAAAAAAAATCTCAAATCTATATTTTACAAAGGAATAATTGAATATAACGAATTACCAAATGACAATAAACAATTTTCCAAGACATAATTAATTTAATTGACATTGAAGAACTGTTTGTTGTATTAATTCAAATTATCATATTCCTTAGTTTTTGTTATTAATTAGACCAATTCTGAAATAGCTCCCTTTGATGATTAATATTTATATATGAATATTTCTTGTATATATAAATAAGTGTTCATAATCATTATTTATAAAGCAAAAGCAATAAGCAATTATCAATATTAATTAATATGACTATGATCTTTTCCACATTTATTTTTTTGTTGTGTTATTGAATTATATTTTTTTCAATTGTAGTTTTTTGGCAGCTTCGCAACTATGTAAAACGTGAGCTTTATTAAAGTTTAATTATCTATTTGGTTAAAAAAAATATCTGTTTTTCCGTTAATCAGCTGTCGCCCCCATACGAACGACAACTCTCAGAAGTTGAGAAACTTGTGCGAGCTAAAGACTAACGAGGTCTTACCTTTTAACGTGTGATTCCTAATACGGCCTAAACAACTCGAATAAATCAACATAGGGTTTTCATTATAGATATTGATATATTATTTAAAGAGTTTTGCATTAATTTTCGAAATAATAATTATTAATTAGGTCCACTGTTAATCCTGAATCAATTTCTTCAATCTCATATATTCAGTCCTATAATTTTATTCGAGCGGAACTATTTCATATCTCTGAAACCCTCCTTCATAAAATTGATTAAGTGTAATATCAGATCATTAGTATCATTTTGTTAGTAAATAAAAAAATTCTGTCTTAACTAGCTCAATGCTCTTTTGATACTCAAACCATAATAATCAAACTATTTATTTATTTTTGACTTGATCTTAACCTTCTTTACATAGGAGAAAAGTTCATTTAGAATGGTGAGTGAGAGTGTAACAAATGAAGATGATAGTAGTTGAAACATTCAGTATAAAATAAATTCCAGTGAAAACAGTATATGTTTGTTGTTTTGTTTATTTTTCATCGATTCATGTGACAAATCAATGGCGTAGATTTCCACTTGAAATATGGTCACAAAGGTCCCTAGGCAGAATGATATTTGTCTGTGATTGGACACACTTGCATCAGAACCAAAGGTGTCATTAATTTATATGTGAACCAACAGCTATATGCTCTTATTATTTCCTCCTCCCAGAGGTTCAATCCTCTCTTTTTTGGATTAGAACTATATAAGGCAGTTTGAAGTTGACAGTTGGAGGCATCAAGTTGAAGGTCATTCACAGAATGCTGTGACTTCCAGTGTCAGCCAGCTATGCTCCACATAAGCCTGTTTTGCACAATTGGCAATATGCAGAATTCTTGTTACATTGTTCATCAAACTTAACTAAAACAAATTGAAGACAGATCACTGGAATCTAAAAATAACACTAAATTTCTAGGAGTCTTCATTGACCAGAATTTAAAATTTGTGGATCATGTTAAACAACTCACTAGAAAAGTCTACTCTGGCTGTTATGCGGTTAGAGTGATTTATAAAGAATTGGGGTTCAGCTCTGCAAAGATGGCGTACTTTGCACTCACAGATTCTCACTTACGCTACGGAATACCGTTTTGGGGAGCATGCAGTCCAACTTTATTCAAAAGTTTTACAGAAAAGGTCAATAAGGTATATAGGAAACCTTAAACCAAGAGACTCCTATAGAACCTTCTTCAAAAAACTTAATATTCTAACGGTAACTGTATTATTTATACTGGATTCTGTGTGTTTAATAAATAAGCATATATTAAATATTGCTGCATCCTCTTCCCATTATAACACCCGAAACTGCAGACACACTCTGAAACTCACTGTGCCAACACATTACCAGAGACTCCATATTTTACAACGGTGAAAAAATGTACAATCATTTGCCTATGGACATAAGATCTGCCAATATAAATGACTTGCAATTCAGGAAGTTAGTCAAACAATTTCTATCTGATAGACCCTATTATACTTTGAATAAATATTTTCACGATAGCTTTTAAGTGACTTACGCATATTTTTTATCTTTACTTATTAAGTTGTAACTTTTTATGTCTACTCTATTATAAACTTGACTTTTACTCTTTTATTAATACATATTTTTTATATCCTCCATTTTAACATAGTTTGTACCCATGCACCATTTATATTTTTATTTTACTTTCAGTTGGCATGTTTTGTATTTTTTAAAGTATGTACTACCCAAGCTTTGTCTGCAAGATTATATCTTATGATATTGAAGCATAATATTATTATTATTAAATCTCTAAGACCAGTGTGGAGAGGATGTAGGTCTAGAAAGATTTCCATGCAGTGTGGTGCAAGACAATCTCTGAATTCTAAAAAGCTTCGTCTGAGTCGTTTGCTGTAAAGCTTTCAGCCAACAGACAATTGATCCATACGTGATCATTGGTTTGATGATTAACACATATTCAATAGATTTGTTTGAGGCCTGAGCCTCAAACCATTTGAGGCCAGAGCCCAAACACATTCCGCAAACTTTTCTACATGTCCATAGGGACAGTCTGGCTTTGTGTAAAACCCTTTCCATGTGAGCATTCCAAGTGAGTTTTCACCTAAATACTTCACCTCCACTGCAAATGGAATGACCTCACCACTGAAAACGAAATGGATAATCATCCAGAATTTTTTTCCTGGTGAACGGGACTAAAACAGTTTTGCTGGGGTTTGCAGACATCTGTTTCCCCTAGCACCGGCTATGAACACCGTCCGGCATTCTTTGAATGACATTACAGGTTACCCTGCCCGATGTGTTCCTTGCAATGATGACTAGGTCATATGCATAAGCTGGCAGACTTACTTCAAGGTGTTGGCATACTACATTTATTTAAAAAAATGAAATAAGTATTTCAGTCAACTATGAAAGTAGTCTTTTGTCAATTCAATGTGCAAAAATATCTAGTGAACTTTTCCAGGAATAGTGAACCTTCAATACAGCTATCATGGAATGCATCTCAATATGACTAGTGCCAACATGATATAACCGGTGCCAACACGACAGATTTCACTGTTCTTTCCACAACTAAATAATCATGTCAATAACCATTTGGTTCTTTAGACAAATATCACAACTGGCATTTCGAATTGAATGAGACCTAGACTTTCACTGACGTTTATATAAAATACGCAGCATTCAACTTACACAGTCAGACATACACAATAAAGCAACAATGTTTCTAAATCCTGATTTGAGGTCAACACAATTTTCATCATTTGGATTGCACTTTATCTTATTGTACCCTCCACAAAAACCAAGACATTGAACTCACCTATTTTTTTTCTCCAAAATCCTTTTGAGTAGGCGCCAACATGAAAGAGATACATTGAAATTAATTTGATATTATTTTTGCTTGAAGAGCGCCTAAATTGGGTAATGCAAAAATCCAGACTCAAGTGGAGCTAGATAGAAAGAAAGCTGGCTTAGAGTAGCTCAATTGAAACAAAAGTAATTCTATTCTCTAGCAAATAAAGAAATAGAAAATTGATCATTAAGATTATAGAGTTCAATACATTCTGAAGTACGTTGAGGAACATAACATAATTTTTCATTAATCGTAGTTGGGATACAAAAACTTTACCTATAAGATATAATTGGCCTTCAAACATATTAGATAGTAGATAATTTTATATAGTGCTTCATTCAAACACATATACTTACAGCTTGTCAAATGTAGGAAGAGCTTTCTGAATTTCGTTATGGTCCCGCCCACTAGATGTGCGTTCGTTAGAAGACTATGAGAGCGAGAGAGAAAGATATAATTATCAAGTCTCTCAACGCGTGACAAGCACATTGTCAGACAAAATCCAGCCTCCTATTAGCCAATTCATCATTATACGGTATGTAAGTAAATATCTTGTTGTGTTTTGTAGGATTGCAGTTATTACTAAATTATGTTATTTAATGAGTGATTTTTGCTGGCATTTTTGGCAACACTGTTTTTGACAGATCACGCGTGAATCGTATCTTGTGTTCAGTTTGGTCTATAATTTAACCATGAATCGACTTACGAATGAACAACACTTGATACTCATTGAATTTTATTATCAAAATGAATGCTCGTTGAAAAAAGTGCATCGTGCACTTCTTCCAATTTATGGGCAGTTTCGTCTGCTTACTGAGGGAGCTATTCGGAAGCTTGTGACTAAATTTCGAACCCAGTTTACATTATTGGACATCAAACCACCAACACGCATACGTAGAGTAAGGACTAAAGAAAATATTGCGGCTGTATCCGCCAGTGTTCGTGATGACCGTGAAATGTCGATTCGCCGCTGTTCGCAGCAATTGGGCCTCTGTTACTTCACTACGTGGAAAATTTTGCGAAAGGATTTGGGTGTAAAACCTTATCAAGATACAGCTGGTGCAAGAAATGAAGCCACGCGACCTCCCACAACGTCTAACATTTGGTGAATGGGCGCTGGCCAAAGTTGGAGAAAGATCCACATTTTTATCGAAAAATTGTGTTCATTTCTGGTTGAATGGATACGTTAACAAGCAAAATTGTCGCATCTGGAGTGAAGACCAGCAGCAAGCATTGCGAGAGCTACCGATGCATCCCAAAAAAGTTACTGATTGGTGTGGATTATGGGTCAGTGGCATCATCGGGCCGTACTTCTTCAAAGACGACAATGGCCGGAACGTTACTGTTGTAGTGCCCTACAATTTCCTTCAAATGGAGTATGCTAGGAGATGTGTTAATTTAGATGATTTTGTTTAGAAATTATAATAAAAAATTAATAAAAACTTCAATCAAAAACGTTTTTTAAAAGTAGATTAAAAACTACAATTGGTGACCCCAAGAAGTGAATAGTTCTTACGCATTTGATAAAACCATGGTCAAGTTACTTCACATTGTGAACGAATTTCTTGATTATCGAACCTCCACCGTATTCACCTGATATGGCTTCCACCATCTTCTTTCTTTTTCCATATCTCAAATTATCTCGAGGCTTTCGCGGCCGAGATTTTCAGTGCTACTATCTTCATTCGCACCTGCGGAAAAGTTTATATTGGTACTACAACAAGATCCATGGGTACAAAGCTGAATGAACACCGGAAAACTGCAGATTAGGTCAAATAGACAAATCGGCAGTAGCGGAACACGCACTTATTGAAGGAGATACCACAATACTCTTTGAAGATGTGAAACTACTTACCCCCGATCATGGATACCACAGTTAGCTTGTACGGGAAGCTATAGAAATCCATATCATACGGAAAACTACAACAGAAAAGAGGAGGCGGTAACGCTTAATCGGATTTGGAATCCCATACTAAAAGATGCTGAAGTGGCAACAGCGCAATGCAATGTTAGGTCATTACCAGGTAATAACACTTCGGCCAATCAACAAGAGAGGCGGACTACCTGAGTCAACATAAATTCGAAATAACCAGTCCCGGAGCGATTTTCTTAGACGTCTCCAAAACGTTCGACATAGTCTGGCATGACGGACTTCTGGCCAAAATGTGCAACTTTGGCTACACGAAACAAATGGTGAGATTAATTGAGTTTTTTCTAACTGACAGGCGATGCCGCTGCAGAGTAGGACAAGAACTCTCAACCATGCGATTACTGGAAGCAGGGATCCCAAAAGGTGCTGTCCTTTCGCCACACCTCTTCTCGGTATACACAGCAGACGTGTCCAAGCCGGAGAACAACTTTGACAAGTTGGCACTTTACGCGGACGACACAGCTCTGCTGGCGAGATCAACAAACCAAGCGCACGTCACTAGATACTTGCAGCAACAGGCAGGTAGATTAGAGGAATGGGTCAACCTGTGGAAGAGACAACGGACAAGAAGGTATTCCGTGGACCAACGAAGCTATATACCTGGGAGTCAACCTAGACAAAAGATTAACGTTCAGGTCTCACGTACGGTAGAGAATAGTAATGGTGAGTTCTGCCCGACAAAATCTTCCAATAATAGGTCGAAGAAGCAACATCGGATTGAAAGTGAAGCTGCTGATGATAAAGACCGTAATATTACCGATAATCCTGTACGCCTGCATTGCCTGGGGCCAGTGCGCAGCGACATACAGAAGACAGATCCAGTCGTTTATGAACGCGTGCGTAAGGGCCGCCGTAAACGCTCCAAGATATGTACCGAATAGGTACATATCCCGGGATCTAGACCTGACCATACACTAGGTAGACGTATACATGAGACAACACGCAGAAGACACGTTTGACAGAATTCGAGCGCAGGACAATTCAGCGCTAAGCGATCTACACAATGCACTGGGATAGCCCCAGATTCCGACAGAGGGACAAACACAAGAGGCCAACGAAGCAGAACCAGAGACCACCCCGAGAGTGGTAAGTATAAAAACTTCTTAACCAGATTTAAAATTCACTTCATTTTCAGATTCACTGGGAAAGAACACTTGCTCGCGATATAAAGACACTCATCTCCGGTTAGTTTTTGGGGACCCCATGCAAAAATTCTGTTGGCCAAGATAAAACAAAACATTAGATTAGAAAGTAAAAGCACCTAAAGACTAACTTTCGACCAAAGTAGGTAAGATGTCAATCTTGCTGAAGTGCCCATCAGTAAGTTGAGGACCGCTCCGGAGGAGCGGGGGTGGATGGACGGGACGGGATGTTCTGCACACAGCAACCGAGTGGGGAAGATTTCAACTCAGGGTACTCAACCCGGGAGGGGGCATGTGGGGGGGGGGGAGATCACCAGTCATCGGTGAATCATCAAGATGAATAAACCTCTGAAGAAGCCAGCCACTCGTGCTGGCGAAATGTTAGGATGCAGTTCCAAACTACGACGGCCTTCAAACCCGAATGAAGATAGTAACACTCTCAAATTACCATTTCGAAGCATCAGAAAGATGACATGAAAGAGAAATTGAAGCAACTACCGGATTCGACTCAAAAAATGCGTCTAAAAAAAGTTTTGATGATTGAGTTGTTAATTGGCGTAAGTGTATTATTTCGAAAGCGGTCTACTTTGGAGGCAATACAATAACTAGACTCAATAATATTTTGTGTTTCATTGACTAATTTTCAATACTTTTTTGACATAGTAGTACTTTCATTGATATTTCTATGAATGAAAAGTACTACGACATCTGTCATTAGCCTCGTGTCCTGAATAGGCAATGTTAATAACTCCCCGAGCCACCTTACGGAGCATCATGGCTATTCGCAGTCCGTCAGCCATGTAACGTTGCAGAATCATTCCAACTTCAACTAGATAAATTATCTCGAGAAAAATATCTGGTCAAGGTTGGGATCGAACTCACGACCTTCCAGTCGTTAGTCGGACGCACTACCACTAATTATTAAATTAAATAGATAGCCTTAGACCAGTGGTTCTTAACCGCTGGTCCACGGACCAGCATCCCAAGCGGTCCGCGGAGTCATACTAATAAATATGTTAGATGTTTAAAGAAGAGTTGCTATTTTCTCCAGAACTTGAAACGACGTCGCAAGGTGCAGGTTATGGATGCAATAAGTCAATATATGGAGAAACATGGACTTATATGGGAACGGCTTATGGGGTTTTGTATAGACAGTGCTCCTGCTATGCTTGGTTCTCGCGCTCCGGTCTTTCAGCATTGATAAAAACAAAAAATCTCTGATTTGACGATGAAAATAGCTATAACAGTAGTAATTATAAGAAAGCACTCAATACTCGTCTCTTCATGGATTCAGAATTTAGTAAAGAGTATGCAATCACAAAAAATCGCATTAATTTATAATGCAATTTTTGTTAGTTACAGATTTTACCTAATGATTAAAGGACGTTATAGTTATTTATGTATCAAGGGAATTAGGATGGCCTTAATTACCGATGGCAAAGTTTGTGTCCCGAGGGCCTCTGGCCCGAGGGACAGCAATTGCCTGAGGTTATTAAGGCTCATTAATTCCCGTGGTACATAGATAATTTTATTTCTGACCGATTTCAATAAAATTTTGTTCATTTTTGAAACGGAAAAATGTACCAATTCATTACCTTCCCGGTATATTTGAATCAGGTACCGTTGATTATAGTAGAGTTTTCTTGTTGCTAGGTTGTTGCTATGTTACTTGTTTATAAACAGAACTTTGTTATCAAGCTGTGTTTGCGGTGAAAACGTGTTTTCTACCCCAAATATAATGGAGGATATTTTGAAAAAAGCTGAACAAGCAAGAGAATCATTAATTCCATCGAAAAGTGAAGCCGTATACCAAAAAGAATACAAGATATATCTGGACTGGCTGACACGGAAAAATGTTATGCCAAAAGATGTCACTGAAACTGTATTTCTGGCATATTTTCAAGAACTGGTAAGGAATTTTCTATGTTTTTCGGTAGATTTGGTAGTAATTGTGTTTATTCGTTTCAGTCAGAAACGTATAGTCCGAATTCTTTATGGACTAAATGGTCAATGCTAAAATCGATGGTGACTATACATGAGAAACGAGATATCACCAAGTTCAATGAACTACAGGCTTTTTTGAAACGGAAGAGTAAGAGTTATAAGCCGAAAAAGTCTGCTATTTTATCTCCTAAAGATGTTATCAGATTCCTAAAGGACGCTCCTAATGATATTCATTTATTGCATAAGGTAATTTTTTTCTTATTTTCCTTTTTGTGTGTATTTATTTCCTTTTTTTTGTTATAGGTTGTTTTGATTAAGGGTTATTTTGGAGGATGCAGAAGTCAGGAACTTTTGAATATGAAGATATCGGATATAGAGGACCGGGATTCCGTTATGGTAGTGAACGTACTGGATAGTAAAACTGGTGTATCGAAGAAATTTACAGTTGTGGATGAAAAAGAGTTCTCCACTTTGCCTTTATTAAGACTTTATATGTCTTTGCGTCCTAAAGGTATTGAACGATTTTTTTTGAGCTTCCGACAAAATAAATGTACATCTCAGCCAATTGGAAAAAACATGTTTGGGAAAATCCCCAGCAAAATCGCAATGTATTTAGGATTGCCAAACTCATCTTCCTATACGGGACATTGCCTTCGTCGCACTTCTGCTACTGCTCTAGCCAATGCAGGAGCAACTATGACTAACTTAAAAAGACACGGAGGTTGGAAAAGTTCCACGGTGGCGGAGGGGTATTTGGAGGATAGCATCGAATTGAGAAATAAAACGGCGCGTATGTTGTCTACTTTGTCATCAGAAGAGGCAGGTACCTCGACTGTAGTGAACAGAAGCTCCAGCCATACAAAAGAAATTGTTTCCAGTGGCGGAAGTAATTTTCAGGGAACATTTCAAAATTGTACATTTATTATTTGTAATGACGTGAATAAATAAAATATGGTTCAGTTTTCATTTCTATTTATTTTTACTTGTGAAAGGTAGAGGGAATTATAAAATCTATAATGTCCCAAGGGAGTTATGACCCTCTTTATTGATAGCGTAACTATGACGATATAAGCTTATAATATCCCGGTCAGAAATAAAATAATTTTATGGGTATTTTATTTATAGATGAATTAGAACAACCATTCCATTTATTTACTGTACTGTATTTATTTGTAGTTATCGTAAGGTACTTTATATTAACTACAAACTAATTAACCAACTTGGTGGTCCATGACTTGACAGAAATTTTATCAAATGGCCCCGCATGACTATAAGGTTAAGAACCACTGCCTTAGACGAATATGAAATAAGAGGACAGTTCCATATTGTTTTGGAGTAGTATCAGCTCTCGTAAAAAAGAAACACCTAATAGTGTTGGAAATTAACTAATATATGCAATAACTGTACTACTCACTTGTTGCTCAACAAATTCTCAGCCTCGTCCGGAGTCATAGCATCGGCAACAGGTACCTTCTCCTCCTCCACCACGCTACCATCCTGATCGTGGTCGCTCCCAGCGTCCGCGTACTCCACATCGTTCAAATCCAACAGGTTCGCTTCGGCCTTTTGCACGACCTGAGTCCTAGCGCCCCTATCGGACATCTGTATAACTTCGCGGACCATGATGAACGGTTCCGATTTCTTACTATCACTACTATCAGACTTTTCCGCACTTAACCTATCGCTACTCATAAGATCTGGTTCGTTTTGGCAAGGATTCTCGCAGCTGCTCTCCCTGTCTAAATCCGCTAATACCGAATTCGTTTTTGGCCTCTGAGGTATTACCGTTACTTGAGACACGTCCGAGTCCGTAGATGTGATGGACTTCTGCTGACTGAGACTGTGGGGCCTATAGGGAACCGCGTACTGGGGCACTTCGTCTTCGTAGGCGAAGGCGCTTTCCAAATTCTGCGGTACAATAGACGGCTTCACCATCTTCTTGTGAGGCACCGCGTACAGTGCTTCTATTTCGGCAGGGGTGAGTTTTGGAGGACTGCGGTCTTTGTGTTCTTTCAGGTCCTCAGGAGACTCGAAAGACTTATCTTCGGTTATGGGAAAGTCATAGAGGGACTCTTCGTGGGGCTTCAGCTTGGCTTCTACTTTCGGCGAGGGTTCGTTGAAGCCCCCTTCGTCGGAGGTGGTGGTGCTGACGATGGAGGCCGGGCGACTGCCAAGTCCGGCCGCCGGAATGTTCAGAGAAATACTAGAGACTTTCGTCCTTCTTGGCACTATTAAGTTTTCTTCAGTCTTATTGTCGGTCTTCCTTATTTCGCCATTATCTGCAAAAAGGGAAAAACGGTTAACATTATTTTGTGTCAATTTATCCAGATGCTTTGAAGAGAAGGGATCGACGATAGACACCTAAAGAATAGATACCATAAAACATTGGTGTGTTTTTGTTTCGGTAGCTTTAAAAAACATTGTTTGTTGGAATGCCTTGGAAGCAAAAAATTGAATCAATAAACTCTTCGAATAGACGAAAGTTGTTTCATTCAATCCATTCAAATTTTTAACAAATCTGCAGGCGGATAGACTGCAAGCTTAGAGATTTGTATACCTGACTACAATGGGGGACACAGTAGTAACTGTCTTCCTAGTCCAGGGTAAATACAATAATGTAGTGAAGGGATGCATGCAGAAGGCCGAAGACCGAAGAAGAAGGGCTCAACATAAGCCCATCCAAATCGACCATAGTAGCATTCACCAAGAGGACTAAAACGGAGGGTCTCGGACCTCTAAAACTTCGAGGTGAAGAAATACAAGTGTCGGAGGAGGTTAAATACCTGGGAGTAATCCTAGATTCCAAACTGACCTGGAACCAGGATAAAGAGGAAAGCGGAGGTAGTACTGATGCTCGCCTGACGCACCTATGGAAAAACATGGGGGCTAAAACCAGACATGGTATATTGGCTATACACGATGGTGGTTAAACCCATGATAACATACGTATCTCTGGTCTGGTGGTCAAAGATGAAGCAGGCGACCGCCATCAACAAACTAGGCAAGGTGCAAAGACTTGCATGTTTGGGAATGACGGGAGCAATGAGAACTACCCCAACATCTGCATTGGAGACACTCCTGAATCTACCTCCTTTACACTTTGTGATAATGGGGGAGGCCAGGATGGGCCAATTCAGACTGGAAAACTCACCGAACTACAAAAGATCGGACCGAACAGAAATTTCGGAACAAGTGGAGGAGCACATATTGAATATGTGCACGGACCACATGACACCGAAGTACACCTTTAACACAAACTTCACGGCCAAAATCATAAGCCGTGAAGAGTGGAAGACCATTAGTCATCCCGAAAACATGTTTGGAAAAAACACCTGGTATACAGATGGATCGAAGACCAAACATGGAACGGGAGCTGGAATATACCGAGCGGATAGAAATCTAAACTACAGCTATCTGCTAGAACTATACACATCCGTCTTTCAAGCGGAAGTGTGCAGTGTGTAAGGCTTATTAAATTGAGACCTCAAAGAAATGAGCGGATCAATATTTTTACAGACAGCAAGAGCGCACTAGGGGCTCTGACAAATCCGAAGGTGACATCAAAATTGGTCTGGGAATGCCATGAAGAACTGAATGAACTTGCAAACAGGAACAACTTTGTACTGGGTGCCACGGAATTCAGGAATCACAGGTAATGTGGTCCTGAACCAGCTCTGGGGGTACCAAAATCATTGGTACGAAACCAGATTACGACATGGACCAATAAGAAGCAAACAGAGTACTGGACAAAAGTACCTGGTAACAAACACAGTAGAACCTTCATTAGGGAACCGTCCGAGAAAAGAACCGAAGAACTATTTCAATATAGTAGGGACCGGCTCAGAATAATTACAGGGTTATTAACCGGTCATTGTCCGCTTAGAGGACACCTGAATAAAATGGGGCTGTACAACTGGGACCTCAGCTGCAGATTATGCATGGAACCTGTACAAACATGTACAGGAAACGAGACTGATGGAATGGGTGTCATGAGAAGATGGGAGAATAAACGCAATAAGCCCAAGAGGCTGCAGTGTTTTCTGGAGACTTGGACTAAATGGACAAGTCAGACAGCTCCCAAGGTAAAAAAAAAACTGTCTTCAAAGAGGACTGTGCACCTTGCCGCACAATAGCGGTTAGACCTATGAAGACATATGCAACTCTAGTTTGGTGGCCAAAGATGGAACAAGCGACTGCTAGAAACAAACTAGGCTAGTTTGGGAATAACGGGAGCAGTTAGAACCACAGGAAAAGCAGTGTTGGAGACATTCTTGAATCTATCCCATTTATATCTTGACATAATGTAGAAGGCCAATTCCTTCAATGTGTCTGGAACTATAATTTGCAGTCCGGCCGCACTCAGGGCAGAGGTTGATGAAGTCATCAGTTACAGCGGCAGTGGACTAGTTTGCAAATGCTGTGGAAAACTAAAGGAAACAGACAGAAACATCCTGACTATTTATTGGGTACCAAGACTCAGAATTAACAACTTTACATATGCACCCTGAACCAGCTATGGCGATATCAAAATATGGTGTAAAATAAAAAATCTGAAAGTATTTTACGTAAAATGAAAAAAAAAATAAATAAAAAAAAGCGATTTATTTCCAACAGGAGTACCCAGTTACAGAAAATGCTATTATTACAGAGTATATATGAAATAAATATTAAAACTAAAGGAAATAAGAAATGTATAATAGTAAATGCTAAAACAAAGTATATATAAGATATAACACAAAAAGTTACCATCATGCAATGTAGCAGTACTGACACAAATGTTATTTATAGTTTTACTAGTACTATGTTGCTGTATCGCTGATGTTCTAATGTTTTGACAGAATCAGAATCAACGAACCTAGGCGTGCGCAGCGTTACAGAACAGTTCTTTCAAAAAATTATTCTACAGCGCCATCTAGTGGCGAGTTACAGAGAAATTGATAGCCTAAAAACCTTCTCTATGAAAAATTACTTATACATGTCAAGTTTCATCACGATCGGTTGAACGATGTAGAAGTTCATCACTTACCAACCAACAAACATCCATTTTTATATATTAGATTAAAAGTGATTGTGGATACATGATACCAAGGCGTTCAGAGAGTCGAAATTAATATCGCAATGTTCACAGATTTTATTGAAGCTACTGCAATGGTGATCGTAGCATAACATTTGTGCGTGATGCTTCGCACTAGAATTTCAGATTGTGTTGATATTCACTTCTTGGTACTGTAAGGGTTCAATCTCAGGTTTTTTTAAAAGGGGTTGCTGCTGATCCAATGAGACACCGGATAGGAGGCGAAACAGTCTATTTTCAGTTCGGGGGGGAGACAGAATACATATTTGATTGTTGACTTGGTTCTAAAATAATCACAAATGATTCAATAAAGTCGTTAAAAGTAGTTAATAAAAAGTTCACACACGTGTTACATCATTTACAGTAATAAAAATTATTACCCACCTAAAATAATTACAGGCACGGGACTCGACGGTGAACCTTGTCCTTAAGGACCACAGTAAGGTAATTTAGAACGAAGTTCACTTTAAAAAGCAAGCCAGAAAAATCTTCGAACAATCGAGCAAATATGGCGCATCAAAAAAGTTTTCACTCAGGTCTCTAGAGACGAAAAAGAATCTCGACCTTCGTTCATAAAAAACCCGACACTGGAAATACTTTGCAAATGCAAAAAACCCGTCAATGTGAAATATTGGTTGCCTATCCCGGAGGGCATGAGGACTGTTGCTACTCATGATTAAGGGCGGTAGAAAAATATAAACAGGAATCGGCCTCCACTGCGGCGGATAAGTTACCGAGAAAATTCACCAGATGGCGAAACGATACAAGTTAAAATTGAAATAAATCAAATAGATGTGTTTTGTCACAGTAATAAGAAATTGATTTCGGGTAAAAGAACCGTACTGTCAATATTGTCGATGCTTCTCGTGGGGTATTTAGATATAAGTATTTTAGGAACTTCTTCTGCACGCCCTCAATTGATGTTTTTTGCTAGTCGTAAACTGGATTCCATAACACAGAGTCATACTCTAACTTAGATCTGTCATACGCAAAATAGAGTTTTTCACATTTATGTAAATGAATTCAAGCATCCTATTTGCATCAGCAGCCATATTCCTTATATGTGTTGTAAATGTTAATTTACTGTCGTACGTTATACCAAGATCTTTTATCTCGTCTACGCGGTTGATTGTAGTATTGTTGATTGAATAATCGTACATTAAAATTTGCTTTTTTGTTGTACATTATATTATTTTACTTTTGGATAAGTTCAGTTGTAGACGATTATCATTATACCAAAGTTTGATAACAACTAATTCATGTTGTACACGTTGGCAGCTTGTAATGTCGTCGATTTTATAATATAGTTTTAGGTCGTCTGCAAATAGTAGGCTAGGAATATTCAAAGAGGTTGCCAAATCATTATTAAAAATAAAAAATAAGAGGTCTAAGACTAGAACCTTGTGTTACCCCAGATGTAACTACGTACTGAGCCGATTTGAAAGATTCATATTCGACGAATTGTTTTCAGTTAACTAGATATTATTCAATTAGAGTAAGCAGTTGGTTAGAGAGTCCCAATTCTGTCAATTTGTTGAGAAGAACATAATGGTCTATTTGGTCGAATGCTTTTTGAAAGTCTAAATAAACAACATCGACTTGTTTTTGCTTGTCCAGGTACGTACAGAGATATTGATTTAAACATGCAAGATTTGTCATACAAGATCTTTGTTGTACGAAACTATGCTGAGTAGAAGAAATAAATTTTTGAATATGGGAGTACATAACATTTTGCACACATATCTCGAAGAGTTTAGAAAACATAAAATTGAAATTGCTCTGTAGTTTGTTATATCGCTAGAGTCGCCTTTTTCAATATCGGACAAATTCAAGTCGATTTCCACTGCTCAGGGAAGCACAAGTTGTTAAAATTAAGTTAAATATGCCTACTAGAGGTATAGATGGAACGTCGATACAGTACTTTATCACAAAACTAGGAACATTGTCAACGCCTGCGATGAGTTAATTTTTAAATTTTTTTGAAGCTGTAACAATATCGATTTTAGAGAAGACAGGGATGTTTAATGTATCTAAATCAGAATCATGAGAATTTTCACGAAGCACATTCTCGTTCGAAACCAAGTATACACTTCTAAAGTAGACTTTATAAGTTGTATCGTGACCTACTGAAAAATAAATTGATGGATGTAGCGTTACCACGTGGTAGGAAATCATAATAAAGAAACCTAATACACTCTTAACCTA